AACCGTAGAATGTCGACCATGCATACACTCTTCGAGTTCAAGCAGTTACTTTGATTTTTGTTTTTTACAGAGTAGTCGAAAAATATATTTTCAGAAATGGCATCACAGTTTTTTATGCGCATCTTCTTTCTCCTCTGGGCAGGTTAACTGTAGTTTATCTTCATAAACCAGATGGAAAAGATCCTTAAATGTTACAGCATATATACTCTTGGTCGAATGTTGATTTCGGTTAGAAAATAGTAATTAATTTTATGTGAAAATGGTGTATACGATTTCGCTAGGAATTATCCTCTGCAAGGCTTGGTAAATCAAGAAGAACAGGGAAATTAGAAATAATGAGATTGATCGTAAAATCCCAACTAAGTCCATAAAAGACGAAGTGAAATCGAGATTGTGTTACGTTTACTATTGAAATCCAACCTAACGTAGCTCGTAAAAATATAATATTTGATTATACAAGACGGAATTTAAACTAACACTTTTGATGTCATTGGCTGATTGAATCGGATTGATATTAAGACTCGAGCTTGCTGCAGTAATCGCAGTAACTGCAGTAAGGCTCGATCTTACTGCGGTTACTGCAGGCTTGGTGCGTCAATATAACGGTACTCAATACTACAAGAACTAGTGCGCCGCTCGGCGGTCTTCATAACACTTGCAAACAAGTAGTATTCCATTCACTCGTTTCGTCATAATAGTAAGCCTATCTGGGGGTCAACCGTGTCGATACAGGAATATCCTGACAGCGTGGTTTTGAAAGTAAGCCTAACATTGGTAGACAAAAGATATGGTCATTTCTCCGCAGCCAAATGATTATTGTTCGAGGTCTACATCAAGTTCTAGTTACGAATCAACAGCTTACTAATTCTACTTTGTAAAGTAAAAATTCTTTCAATTTTTTAAATGGATTTCTATTCCGAGGACCAAAATTCAATAACTATCGTTGTTGTAAAATGATGGAACTTGCTTTTCGATACAGGAAGAAATATCACATAAAGCTAGACGTACAGAAAGTTCGACATTACAAAAAAAATACAAACATTTTATTGGTTGGGGTATACTTTTTTTATTGAAATAAAATATTTTTTTGATGAATTTTTAGTGACAAAAGACACAGAGACAAATTGTTTTCGTTGTAAAGGATGCCACTTGGTTTTAATAAACTAGTTCAGTTTATAAGTATATTATTTTAAAATTGTGTGACTCGTGTCTTTGATTAGTAGAAGCTTATGTTAATTACCTCTCTGTACTTAACCAATCAGCGCATCCCTTACAAACGACGTAGACCTAGTATAATAGAATAAAATCTTTGTAATTATCAAATGTAAATAATGCTTACTTACCTAATCATATCACCCATAGACCTAGGGACACATGATAAATTTGAGTTGTAGTCCTAACTACTATAATTTATAATTAGCCATGCCTAAATAATTGCAATAATTGTGTAGGCCTATTTCAATGCCTGACTTAGGCAGGCATGAGAATGGAAAATTAGGTTATTCTTGTAATTCTTAAAATTAGACCATCATCATCGTTATCATCATCGTTATCATCATCATCATCATCATCATTATCATCAAAAACATCTTCATTATCATCACTTTGAAATGTTTTAATTATTTTGGTTAACCTGTGCATAACCCACTTTTAAGGTTTTTCCAATTTGCTTTTCCGTTCTGTTAATAGACTGGTATTTAGTTAAGTAAAATAAAGAAATTGACACATCGTGTCATTAATTAACTGACCAATTATGTGCCTCGTTTCTGGAAACCAGACGCTGATAAAATACTTCGTTCTGCGAAATCAGATTCCAATATTCGTCTTGAAATTTACTCGAAACATTTTTGGATGAAACTTCATTAAAAAACATCTGACTTGTTAAATCAACATAGAAATGGGCTTAATTATAATTAATTAGGTAATAAATTATATTACATATAATATCAAGGCTTCGGGAAGTCATATAGACCTAGGCCTACTAACCTACCTTGAACGCGAACGCACAGACCCTATACGGAATACGGCTAAGCCTAATAGTGACAACTAGTTCGATTCAGTTTTATTTCAGGTTTACCATGCTACCTACCGAACACATTTGCAGATTTTAAACTATTAGTTCTATATGCCTAGATTTAGATGAAGACTAAGGCGTAAATTACTGCGTCTTGGTACCCATAAACCCTAACTTATCTCACCATGTAGGCGGTGCTTCTTTCAGATCTTTTTACTCTGAAAAGCCTTGGCACAAAGATGGAGTTACCCTCTTTTGCTTTCGTCTCCTTGATCACAACAGAAGTTACTGCGCATCTTCGTTTGATGTCACCGAATATATAGATGAACTGACATATTGGGTTTGAGCAAATTTTTCAAGTCTATTAAATTCTCATTAACTTTTCTATAAACTCCTTGAATTAATTATGAAGAGGCTTCTCACAAGCTATAAGTGCGAATGAGCTAATTAAATAGAATATCAAGAGTAGGTATCTAATACGAGAAGATAAGAAGATGTCTAAATACTGATTAATATGATGGTGATGATGAACTATCGTTTGCAAGCACCTAGATAGAATACGCTCCATTAGGAACTATGCCGTAGACCTGTACGTCAATGTGATCTGATCATACCTTTGTTTTTCTTAGCAACGGGCGTACCAAAATATATTAGCCTATTAATTTACAGGAAAACCCTAAACTTTGACCTATCTATTCATTGAATCTTTATCTTTACTACTGTCACACACACACCCCCACCCACCCACACACACACACACACACACACACATACACACACAGTGTATAAGAGACAGGTAATAAAGATAAACATCCATTATAGGCCTATATATAAATTTATATGGCTAAAGATTGCCAATGGCAACCTATAAAGTAATTACAATCGTAAAAGTGGCAAACTTTTTAAAACAAAACAAACGTAATGCAGTACCCGGTGTACACAAGAAATATAGTTAGGCCTTTGAGGTTTGTAATTAAGGAGATCTTTGGGTCGTGAGTAAAAAAAAATATGATGTTACAGGGCATAACCTGAACCCAAGACCCCGGGAATGAAAGAGAAGCATCTTAACCAGAGATAAAGCTCCACGTCACCCCAAGGGATAACGCGTCAATTTACTCTAGGCTGCAAATCCCCCATCCTCGATCTTTGTCTATCTTTATTCAAAAAATTATTTTCCCCTCCCAGTTGGCGATCAGCGCGTGAATGCATCAACCGTATAAACTCTTCCCATTACATACATCTACAGCATCAACACTTTTGAGACGTAAATTCAAACAGAATTTTAATTCACCAACTAAGTTTAATATTCTCAATAGTATCGGACCATATTCAATCCCCTTGAACAGCAATTATAACAATAAGAAATGTATTGTAGGAGCAACAGAGATATCTTAGTTTTGTGAGCTCCCTACGTTGATTCTGTAGACACGTATTTTTTATATAGTTATAGGCCTACCATTAGTTTTTTTTCGGATGACGGAAAAGAACGATATAATTTCTTATTGAAATATGCCTTATTCTCCCATATCTATAAATTTTATTACTTAGTATCAGATACGTTTCACACTTTCGTGTAATGATTTATAGCCGGCATGCTGGTAATATCTCAAAGGAATTCCAGTCGTAGAATAGATACAAGAGAAGAGAATACAATCTCGATTGAAAAACAAATTCTCAAGCCTTAAAGGGCATACAATGTAAAATGCTGAACGATGGGATAGCGAGTGGAACGCGTCAGTCACTCGCGACTAAAATTATAGACTGCGGTTTTTTCACAGCAGCGGGTGAATATCTGTCAATCAAATCACACAAAAGACTATAAACAGCTATGTTCTACCTCACCCGCATAACTATACATTGGTTTAATCACGGTTTAATGAATTATATTTGTTACAGGCCCCAATTCAATTACTGGCATTTCTGAATGGTGTTGATACTTGAACGAAATATCGGTTTCAAAGCCACCCTTCGTAATGATAATAAACTCAGTCTTAGAGGCTAGCTCTCTGCCTGTCTGTCTGAGACCGCACTGAATAATGTGTGGTCGCTAGGACACATTTACTGAGAATTACTTTCCAGGCCTAGTGATTATTTTTTAGTGGCTAACCTTAGGGATTTTATCCCTTTCACTGCTTAATCTCCCAGTGCCTTACTGGCAACCACTTTTTTAGTACACAGCTCTCGACACTTAAATGTATTTGCGGTGGTATTTGTGTTATTGGCAATAGTAGACATACAGTAATTATTGTTGATTGTTTTTTGAAACCAATTACGTTTATATTTGCGGGCACGATGAGCTATGCTGTATTGTCGTGTGCCATTTGTGTTTAGAATTAAACTACATTCGATTCTGTGATATTGCATTAATCTCTCATCTGGGAAGATTGGTGGCTTAACTGGGTCGAAGTTAATTAATTTTAACTAATGGTTTTTGTATTGAGTTGGCCGAAGTTGGAGAATATATTTTCTATTCAATTCGTCACAAACATTACGGAGGGCACACACAAAGCGTTTTGTTCAGACAAAATGAAGGCCTGGGGTCCTGTAATTTTTAAATTGGGGTCGGCTCAACATTTGTAAGCCTATCTTTATTTTCAATCATACATTATTAAATACTGTAAGGGTAGGTCCTACTGTACTCTGATAGATATATGGTTTGGTTACATATATACTTATATACATAATTATTATTATCATTATTATATACACACCTATAAAACACATAGGCCTAACGTAGGCCCATGTTGGCCTTATGATATACGCCTACACTGGCATCAATATTGAATGATTGATAACAAAGGGTAAAGTTGTGATTTAGTATGTGTTCTGCAATACTTCGTGTTATTTAGCGATCGTAAACACTATAAGGATCAAAGAAAGGTTTATAAAATAAACTGGAAATATACCATTCGTCTGTCGATTTTTTCCCCAGCATAGATTATCCAAATTCATAAATGGTATCTGATTAACAAAACTTCTCTTATAGATATTGACGATAAAGATGGAAATGGCGGGAAAAGACGGCGCAGTCGAACTAACTTTACTGGCTGGCAGCTAGAAGAACTTGAGCGGGCCTTCACGGAGAGCCACTATCCGGACGTGTTCACGCGTGAAGCCCTCGCCATGAGACTTGATCTCGTAGAGTCCCGCGTACAAGTAAGTAAACACAATTTCTCTATATGTTTTGATTTTTGTTTTTATGTCGATTATTTAACAGTGATTTTTACATCATAGTTAATCTACTTGTTTTATAGAAATTAGACAAGAAGAATAAATTGATTAGTCGTCCACGACCTAAACAAATTAGTATAGTCCTAGATTAAAAAAGCATCAAATATTAAGGCAATTAAACAAAATAAATGGAAAAACACAATTATATAATAGCTAGAATTTTGGTGCCATTAGTTTCTAAAAATTAATACTGCTTATTAATGTCGAAGAAAGAGTGTCAATTAAAAAATCCGTTTTATATTCTGCTATATAAATCAACCAATAAGCAATCATGCCACATAGATTAAAGGTACGACAGTTATAGCCTGTAATATGTAGGCCTAAGAAATAACATACATACTTAATACATGATTTACTATTGTTCTGATTTTTATTCTTTGATTTCTTATGGCAACATGTCTTGCTAGGCCTGCACATTCATTGCATTTATCATCAGTTCGCTGTTTGCACAGAAAATTACGCGAAGTGAGTGGACTTATTCTCTGGTGGGATACCATAATTTAAGTGATTAATTTTCAGAAATGAGATGGATTATACAAACTTGATTGACTTTTGTTTATTGGGACTCAACACATACGGGTTTCAATTCCAAGATGTATGCTTGTGTAAAGCGCGGTCCCTGATAGTTCTGAATCACCACTTGGAATTGTTTTTGTTAACATTTGAACTTTCGACACGATTTTTTTTTTTTGTAAATTTATTCTCTATAATTTATTTTTGATCGGAGGAAACATAGGCATAATAGTTTCTTGGAACTATTTGAAATTGTCGAATTATGATAGAAATAAGTGGGCTAACTGAGATAGTAGTGCGAAGGTAATTTATTTTAATCAACACCGTTAGGTGTTGTATTATTTTTACGTACTGCCATGGTATAGCTTAGCCTTTTGTTTGTGTTCTTAGGGACTTAACAATGTGGGGTATACCATGAGAGCGGAAAGCATTGCTAATATTTGAATAGACCAAAAGTATCGGGGTGCTGTCAGTTTCTACGCCGGCGTTCCATCATAATTGCCTCATTAACGGCCTATGTATTACCGGTACCCAGTAAAATCAGTCCCAACATATGCCCGTTATTTTGTCCTCGAAGAAAAAAACTGGTATAAAGCACACATTAATTAAGTGCCAATGAATTAAGTAATGTTGTCTTTTGTTGCGTCATGAACAACTGGTAATGGATTTCGCGGTGTGCTGATGAAAGCAGGTAAAGGACGGGTTGTGTACTTAACTGGCAATGTAATAATATTCATTTATTCCAAGCAAGTTACACCACTAACTGATCCAGAATTGATTTCTAATAGATTGCAATGTGACACCAGCTGGGCTTGTTTAAACTGTCCTTGTTGGTATTGTTCTGTGATTTTGTAAACAATAAATTTAAGGGGAACAATAACATATGAATAAATTTGTTGGAGTTAGCTGTTTCTTTCTTTGGACTTAGTTGTATCCTTTACGTATGCTGCTACTGATTCATCACATACATGCGAACTGTTAAATGGAGGGAATTATTGTATATCATTTTATTCTCGACTAACCACAGTATTGTCACAATGGGCCCCTAACACTAATCCAGAGTAGGTTAGAATAATAGAATAGCCTTAGCCTTAGTAGTAGCACTAGCAGTTGTACTCAAGCGGACTAATGTTGTTTGTAATAATGTATTATAATTAGAATTAGAAGGCCTATATATGTAGGCCTACTGTATTTTCTTGTTAATAAACTTTAGTTAACGTGATTGACAAAATGGATAGGTAAACTTTAACAGTATTTATATCGTTCTCTATAATTAGAAACTTGATACTCAAAAATGCATAATGTACAGTACAGTATGTTTACCTTAAGCTGCAACTTTATTTTATTTCTTATTGGTCTTTTATTTAGGCCTATGCAAATAAAATGATATTAAATAAAATCTTTTTAAGATTTTGTAACTTGTACGATTTTACAAAATAGAACGATAATGATCTAAAATAAGCCACCAGAAGGACCAAATAAAATTAATCTTAATGCTAAAACCCGATCTGCAGTTGATACTACTGTTCATGTGAATTGACAAAGCACTAATTACATTATATTGATACATATTTAAAGATATATTATATATATTACGCTATAATTTATCGGTTCAAGTATATATTTCTAGCACGTGACTACAGCATCTGCTATTCGCATCTTATAACGTTATTGGGTTTAGGTATACATTCTGTTTTTGTTATAGAGATATCATTCGGAATTTTTGTGTGTTGTATTTGATGTTGTCCACCGTTCCCAGCCAATGATATTCCTATCACAATTATTTTATTAAAAGTGATAAATCAAATTTACTTAAATTCACATCAGAACTCAAAACATATATCTCACTCGGAGAAATTTCAGTAAAGACGTCGCTGATTGGACGCTGTTTATCACGTGCTGGACTTGCAGTCGATACGATGTACACTTTTTATATAAGCTAAAACCTTGGACGCATTTGAATCAAATGAAAATGTCAAAAAATAATAGAAAGGAGTTATATTACGTGTAGGTATATATTTTATTGCTTACATAGAATATTCTAAATTAATGAAGCAAAGCGAACATAAACCTTATTGATATGGATTTTGAGAAAGTTCTTATTGGTTTCTATATATTTTTAGTGGTTCATATTTAATATTATTTGTTTTGTGGTTTATTTGTAAAGTTGTCTTTTATTATTAGGTGTTTTAAATTAAAACAGTTGCATTTGCAGTCAAAAAGCTATGGCAAACATCTTGTTTTCTCTTCGATATTTCAATTTGGAACTCACTCCCCGTTTAACGTTTTCTTCAATCGTTTGATATTGCATGTTTTTACTAAGAATAATTATTAATATATCTACCCAAGTGAACCATCTTGGGTGATAGATGCTAAAACAAACTTAATTGATTGGTACTTCGCTGAATTTGAAATAAAGATTATGCGAAAAAAAAAATGGAAATGTATTCACAATACCGTAGCACATTCGTTTTGTTCAGCCCTAGTTTGGTGACTAAGAATGAATTTTCTGAACATGCGCGTAAAAAATCTACCGTGTTAAAAACATGTTTTCAATAATACGCTACTAAGTTGAGTTAAAACAGCTTTAAACCTTGCGCAAACTCGGATTAGTAAGCAAACTGGCTATTAAGTTGATTCTGCGCAGACTTAAAGAAAATTTTCTTTATTGACAATCCCGTTTCTTTCTGTTTACTAATGTCCACACAAAGTAACTAAACCAAGTGCACCAATTACACGATAATTTAGCACTTACTTAGACTTGAAGTGTTTGTAAAAGCTAATTTCGTTTACAGCACAGAGTAAATAAACTCACAAGCAGTATAATTAAAACAACACTTAAAACACTGAACGACGACCGAAATGGAAATGAAACTTGGTACAGACCAATATTATTCTATTACGTTGAAGGGGTTGAAGATTAAGATGATGTCGTTAACTCGAACAATGAGTACACGCGATTTGTGTAACCCAGTATTTTGAGCTACATAAGTTCCCATTTACAGGTAGCACATGAGGGTTCGCTGCACCCTAAACAGTATTATTTACGATTTGTTCCATCATAAATAATCTTTACTAATCATATAAATCTAGGCCTATAAGCTCTCATGTCATAATTTAAATCAAATAAATACCCGGTCAATTTAGATTACATGAGAATAATAGAAGTTCAAAGTTATAATGTGTAAAATTATTTTTGTTGGTGGATAATCCCAATAATGACGAGGATATTAATGATTATGTATATAAACATTAGGCCTATTCCATTTTCATGAGAGAAAAGACAATGATAAAATAATGTTGATAGTCAGGCAATTGCAACATTATATAGCATTATTATTATTATTATTATTATTATTATTATTATTATTATTATTATTATTATTATTATTATTATTATTATTATTATTATTATTTTATTATTATTATTATTATTATTATATTTTTATTATTATCACTATCATTTATTATTATTCTTATTATTATCATTTATTATTATTATTATTATTATAATATCAACTCTTTGTTCATTGAATTCATAATATAATAATGATGATATGTTCTAATATTCTTGATGATATTAACATAACAACAATAATTGTATTAATAACATTCATTGTCGCATTGGGCAATGACAACATAATATACAGTCGGATACATCATTTCATTTGAATCGACAGATTTACAGGAAAAAAAAACTATCAAGAGCAGGATGCCTACCTAATTATTCCGACTCGTTTTGTTCTAAAATTCACGTTTAATCGTATCAAATGTCTAAAATCATTTAAGCGCAATTGATTGCTAAATTTTCTAACTTCTTTAATTTAGGTATGTCAGTGATTTGCCATATGTCCCCGCCCGTGGCCATCACTATACCGTTACCTGCCGCTGTTCATTGCGACTTAATAATGATGCGATCGAATCTGACAATCGGATTTAGATGGCGTGTTCTGTAATTCAAATCAAAAAGTATGTTCTAGAAATCGTTACAGTATCGCACGCATTCAATATTTTCTACTGACGTTTCCTAGATATTTGGCCATACCAAAATGAAAAATAAAAATAAAATGCCTCCTCCTCTCATCGCTTTTCCAGCCTAAATTATTTTTAATTTTGATGTCATGTTTATATCCAGATCGGGTAATAATTTAATTAAGTATTACTTCTTTGAGAATAATATGTTGGTGATTGGAATTTTATAATGAAGCAGATGATGACAAGGCCTATATGATAACGGAATATAATGAGAATGAAGACTTGTTGATTGGTGTTAATTGTCAAAATAATGATAATTATGATGATAATAATAATATCCATCTTGATGGCAGTTGTAAATATGTTGATGACAATGACGTAGGCTTATTGTGACGGAAGCTGATAACGAGGGTATGATAAGTGTAATTATGGTAATTGAAAGTCATGAAGTTAATGATGAAATTAATATTGATTAAATCAAGATTGTTTATGCAGGTACTAATTGCAAAGTAAAAACCAATTAACGAAAATAATGATATTCATAATACAGTAGTAGTCACAATGACGATGGAAATAATCTTCATTAATGTTTTTCATTAGAGAAACCAGATGAAGTCATGACGAATAATGTATAGGCCAAAAGTATATATAGTAAATATATAAATATGTTATATAACATTTTACAATAAGATAATAATATTTTTTATCATAATTTTTCCAATCCGGCAAATCCATTTAGGAATATAAGTAATAAAATAATCACTACAATTACGACAATGGTTGTTATATAATTTGGACATATTATATTATTTAACATTATCACTGAATGTATTAATTAGAACAATGCTGCATATTATCACGATCACGCCCTCTATTGAATATTATATTTCATAAATAATGCGATTTATTTTCAATATGCATTAAAGCCTACCGATATGTTTTTCTCAACCGATCAACTTCGTATGTTTATTATAAATTAATGAATATAATTATCGTAGCAAATAAAATAAATTTTATAAAATGAGTAATAACGTGTCAGTGATTTGCGTAACTTGTCAATCGCTTTACCTCATAAATATTCAAAAATCTTGATAACTCCTAATTATTCATATTTCTTGTTGAAAACTCATGAATATTTATTTATTTTCTCACATCCACGAATCAAATTAAGCGTAATGAGGATTGGGAAATGTAATTATAACGAGGAATATGATCGTTTAATTAACTTGGTGCGGTGGCGATGTCTTTATTCTGCAATCCGTTCGATAGTTACAACGGTGATTTTACAAAACCAGATAAACATATGGAAACGAAAAATAAACCAATTACAAAGCGATTGACACAAATAAATAAATGAATGTATGGAAAATCTATCAAACAGACTCCTAATATAATTGTAGAAACGAAAATTTATTTACTCGGTGAATTAATGTGAAATACACGGATGGAAAGTTCATGAAATGAACAATACATAATATTTACGAAATATACGAACAACAAACGTGCAAGGAATGTATAATACTATATAT